ATGATAGCTTTTCCCACCTCTAAAGGGAAAGTCAAAGTGTCCAGAAGTCCCAGAGGCTGACTAGATTCACACAGGTGTCCAAGGAATCAAAATGCAAGTGAAATTCCATGGGCTTAGCTCCAGGCTCTGTGACTCATGCCTTGAGGTCCTTGAACTTGCTCAGTGAGTCAATAATAGGGCCTGCTAACCAATGTTAAGCATTTTATAGTCTATAAAGCACTCTCATTTAACTCATCTGACTATTTTCTCCTGAAAAGTACTTACAACTACCTTGCAAATGATGGAGAAACCATTGCTACCATGGATTACTTACAGACTGTTGTGTCTAGTGTTCTGGCTGCGGTCAACCAAGAGGTCAGCATCAAATCTGTGGATTACTCCAGTGAAGTAAGAAAGGAGCTAGTTTTCCCTCCTATAGGAAGGAATTTACTAGGTTTCAAGCAATCCCAAAGATACCTCAAGCAGACAGAAAAGTCTAGGAAGTCAATTAAGTAAAATCCCATTAGTCACTTTCTTGGGTTCTAACTCATGCCTCTGGCATTCATTACCAAAGGGATTTGGTTCAGACCGGTGCAGTTTTCTCCCACTCTGCTTGGGAATTCTAGAGTACTCTAGTGGAGATACAAGCCTGTGGGGTCATCTGTAAGTTTGTCCTCTGGCCCTGATCTCAGACAGTCAGTGAGGGTACAAAATCAACACCTGACTTCAAAGTCAAGGTTGTGAGGGGCAGAGAAGGGGCAACACACAATACACGATGAGCATATACTTGGAAGCACTTCATCTCACACACACACACATACACACACACACACACTGGTGATGCCAATTTGTATAATTGCCATTAGCCAGATTATTGACTCCTCCAACATGAGATGAATGCTTTCCCACAGATTCAGAGTAACGAGAGATCTCAGAGTTTGACAAACACCTAGCCCTACTTCCTTCGCATGCAGGAATCTGACCACGATATTTCTGGCAGGAGGCCACACAGTTCCTGCTTGGACTCCTCCCTCAACAAGAAGCTCACCATTCACAAAGGGAAAATGTGTCTACGGTGGGCCTCTGTCTTAACTGAAGTCTGTCTCCCATTCTTTAGCTGCCCCTCTGTCTCAGCTTTCTCTGAGAATTAGAGTAAATTATAAACATTTGTCTCCACGGTAGCCATCTAAATATTTGAAAAGTGAGACACCTCCCCCAGTCAGTCTCTCTCTCTCTCTCTCTCTCTCTCTCTCTCTCTCTCTCTCTCTTTCCTCTTTGACAGGAAAAAAAAAACTTCATTCCCTCCTACGATATGGTTTCCAGACATGTCTCTGTTCTGTTGGCCCCTCCTGTGGGTGACCTGGTTAAGAGATTGGTCCTGAAATGAATCAGTGAGTTCAGTGACACAGCAAGTCTATCAGCATTGCAGTTGACCTTCACAGTAAAGGCGGCCAGATCATATTGATTTATGCTGAGATTTTAGTCTATTGACTCTTGTAGAGATTTAAAAAAAAAAATCAGTATTTTTCAATCATCCTTCCAACTGAAACTACACTTTTGTGGCTGGTTTCTTTTTCCTATGAACCTGGATTTTGGACTACATATTCAAGGTCCCTGTGGTGGTTTGAATGAGATGGTTCCCCATAGACTCCAAGTACATGAATACTTGGCCCCAGTTGATGACACCTCTAGGCCTAGGAGGTATGACCTTGTTGGAGAAAGCACATCACTGGAGTGGGCTTTGAAAGTTCTTAGCCTTCCTCCATTGTAGTTTGTCTCTCTGCTTTCTGTGTCTGCTTGAAGATGTGAGCACTGTGTTCTGCTCTGGCTGCCTCCTGCCATACTCCCTCCACCATGATGCACTTTTATCTCTCAATAAACCCTTCTCTAAGTTGCCATCTTCATGGTACTTTATCACAGCCCTTTAACCCCAAATTAACACACTTTACATTTTGTTACATTTGGGACCTGCTATTTCAACCTAACGCAGTTTGCCTAAGTCTTCATTTCATATTTTATATGCCAGCAGTCACTCCTAATTGTATCTCCTACACATTTTATCAGCCCACATGCTCATTTCCATGCAATTTCTCACACAGGATGCATCTAGGCAGGAGCAGAGACCTAGGATAGTTTGCTATCAGAGACCATCCACTGTGTTCACATGAAATTAGTCACCAGTTCTCCCTGGGTATGTTAGTCAGTGTCTGACAACTCCACCTAACTGCATAGCCACCAAAGCCTCATCATCTCCTCCACAAATATTTAATAGAGGTCATTTCTTTAGCCAGGAAGAATGCTTCCATGACTTCAGCTACTGACATGGGCCATTTTATGAGGTATTTTGGAGAAACTTCTCAGTATCCCACAAACATCCTGTGTAGGTGGTCTAGGCAGCTCCTAGTCAGGCCAGTGCTACCAGGAAGCCCGAGTTTTAACCATGAGACCCAGCATGTAGGAATTCTCTGGTAATTCAAGGGCTGTCCTTAGGCATCTTTTAAAAAAATATTTTATTATTTTCATTTTATGTGTATGAGTGTATTGCCTGCATATATGTGGGTACACCCACGTTTTGCAATGCCATGGAGGTCAGAAGAGGACTTCAGATTCCCCTGGAACTGGGGTTAAGGACCATTCATTGCTGCCATGTGGGTGCTGCTAATCGAACCCGGGTCCTCTGGAAGAGCAGTCAGTGCTCTTAACTGCTGAGCCATCTCTCCAGCCCCTCCTTAGGCATCTTAAGTCTGGGTCTGACATGACCTACTTTCAGTGCCTGTGGAAGCGAGGTCCCAGGGAGCAGCTCAGATCCTGTGTGTCTATGGCTGGACAAGGAAATCTCACCCTGGCTCAGGTCACCAGGCTGGTCTGCATGACTGCAGGGAAAAGGCTTTCTAAGAAAGTGAGCATCACAAAGACTGACTTGTCACCTAGCCCTTTATACCAGGTGTCTGATTCTAGCTCCTCCTCCCCACCCCCCTGTAAATTCACTAGTGTCTGTGGGCTCAGCCTTGGCTGACACTCCCACTTTCCCAGGGCATACACCCTGTCTTCCCAGCAACTAAGGCCCATGTTTCTTTCTAATGGGCATCCTCAGATCATGATATGGCTGGCCCTCAGCAAATGTCCGGAATGAAGGTGGGTACTGTGCTTGCCTATCTTGGACTTTCAGCCCTTCCAGAATAAGAAAGTTCTCCCCAATACCTTTTTCCAGATTGTCTAGGCCTCTTCCACCTCATTAAAGTTCTGCTTAGGCTATGACGCATCTTGGGGCCAGGGATGCAGTTCAGTTGGTAGAGTGTCAGCATGTGTAAAGCCCTGGCTTCTATCCCCAGCACCTCATACATTCAACACATTGATGCCTGGAGTCCTCACACTCCAAAGGTGGAAGGAGGAGGATCAGAAGGTTATCCTTGGCCTCATATTGAGTTCAAGGCCAATCTGAGCTACATAAGCTGAGGCCATGCCTCAGAAAAAAAAGAACACAAGTAAATAAGCTATGTCACATCTTAATTCCCTTTCAAATAATAAGCACTGGAACTAGACATGGTAGGAATTCAATGAACAGTTACGTAGGGAAGTACCACTCACAGTTTCTTTTCTAAGACCATATTTGCTAGCAGAAGATTTATCTTCTCTACACCAAACCCACTCAAGTTTTGGCCTTTATCCCCACTATTGATACCTTTCTTAGGTCACAGAGCCCGGGTCTTCCTTCTCTCAACACTCTTAAGTGGATTATTCTGAGCTCCTAGCTGGGTGCAGGGCCACCGAAGATGTCATAAATAAGCTTATTATTCTCTGAGGCAGACAGTGCCATGAAGGAAAGTGCTGCACCTCTGCATTTCTCCTCATTATATAGTTTAATATTTGATCCTGGCTGTGTCTCCACTTAAGGGAATAATAATCTCCGGTGTGCATTTCTAGGGATAAGGAAGTTTGGGAGTTGGAGATACTGTTCACAGACAGTATCTAGAGTTGGATGCAATGATGAAGATATAGCCACTGCCTCATCAGAGAGCAGATACATCAAGTGGGTGCGAAGTGTTTCCTATGAGTATATACCGGGGAGACGGAGAGTTCTGTGAAACTGGGTTACAGCATCAGCTCCATGGGAAAGCAGTCTCACCCGTTATTGAAGTACACAGACTCCACAGTGCTCTTGTTATCATGAATGGAGTGTGCTTACAGATGGACTAGAAGTGGCCTACACTCCAGCTGAGGAGGAACTCTTCCCATGCTTCATGTAGGCTGGACCAGTTCCCAATATGTTTATGTGTTATGGGAGCACAGGAGAGAGGAGCTGGGCAGAGGGAGTCACGGAGGATAACATCCCGGGCACAGTGGGGACATCCTCTGGAGCCCAAATGGGGTGATTTCAAGTCACTTTTCCTTTCTTTTTTAAATTTAATTTTATTATCATTTTTTTTGAGACAGGGTCTCCTGTACCCCAGGATGGCTGGTCTCGAACTCACTGTGTAGCCAAGGATGATCTTAACTCCTAATCCCCACTTCCTCTATCTCCCGAAGGAGGGGATGCACCCCAGCTCACAGCTTGACAGCAGCTTCACAAGACTGAGCAAATCAAAAAGCTCAGTCAACACCGGTTTCCTGACCCTTGGAAACTGAGATAATAGACATCAGTTATGTCAAACTGCAAAATTGAGGCAGTGAGGGAAAACTCTTGAAAATGGCCCTGAAGGCACTTCCTATCACCCTGTTAGTGTCAGTCCCCATGTCCCAGATGCACACTTCTTGAGCATCATGCCCTGGTACCCCAGGCCACACTCTACATCTCTTTGCTTAGAATGTTCTTGCTCTACACATAGCATCCGTTCTCCAAGTTGCCCTTGCATCGGATGAAGCTGGGGTTAGTCCTCATACCCAGCCACTGCTCACTCAGCGGGCAAGACATATTACATGGAAGGGAAACAATCAAGTGAAGACATTGTTGAGCGTATACGGAGGCTGGGAATGAACAAGAATTCCATCCTCACAAAAAGTAAAAATAAGATGTGACTTACCTCTATCTGGTTGATCAATGAATTGTCAAATTTGAAGCCAGGAATCCTCTTGTCACTGCACACCACACCAACATCCTCTGTGTGCTTGCAGTCCGTGACACCCCAGCCATTGGAGGAGCAGGCGGCTAGGGTTGCCTCTTTGCCGGTGCAGTGGATGTTGTCCAGCCATATGGGCCCTGAAGGGAGCCAAGGAGAGAAAACAAACAGGATGTCAATGCACATCCAGGTGTTGGGGGCTCCAACTGAAATGGAATTTTCCCTAATTTTGGGAGAGTGTGTGTAGCTATCAGTTGATTTCTATTATGTGAGGCCTTTCACTGGGATTCCCTTCCCAGAGCAGCCAGCTGATGTGATCTGATGTAGTGGTAGTTTGAGCAGGATCAGGACAGACATTAGATTTAAGCCTGGAAGTCATGTGGTATATTAGTTTCTTTTCTTGTTGTGACAAAATATGAGAGAGGAGAGGAGAGGAGAGAGAGAGAGAGAGAGAGAGAGAGAGAGAGCTTAAGAGAAGGATTTACTTTGGCTCTTGGTTTACAAATGGATAGAGACCATCATGATGAGAAAGCATTGTAACAGGAATGTGAGGTGGCTGGTCACACTGTGCCCACAGTCAGGAAACAGAGATTAATTCTGGTGCCTGCTGGCTTCCTCCTTTTTTCTCCCTTTGAATTAGTTTGGGACCCAGGTCCATGGGATAGCACCACCCACATTCAGGGTGGGTCTTTCTTCCTCAGTTAAACCTCTCTGGAAAAACCTTTATAGACATGTCCAGAGGTGTATCTCCTAGGTAGTTCCAAATCCAATCAACTTGACAATGAAGTTCAACTTTATTATTTGTCTGTCTGTCTGTCTGTTTCTGTGTGTGTGTGTGTGTGTGTGTGTGTGTGTGTGTGTGTGTGTATGTCACAGCACAAATATGGAGGTCAGAGGGTAATTTTATGGAGTTGGTTTTCTCCTTTCACACTTATGTGAGTTCCAGGGATCCAACCCAGGAGGCTTTGTGTGGCAAGCACCTTTACCACTGAGCTATCACACTAGGTGACAATCAAGTTTAACCACCACAAGTGATGTAGTGGAAAGAACAGGGGTTTGGGAAACTAACCTGGGTGTGAATTCTGATTCAGTCACTTTTAGCTTTGTAACCTGGGCCAAAGCCCCTCTCCTGTCAGGAAATAGAGACAAAGACATGAACTGCAGAGGTGTGTATTGACTAGAGACAGTTCACTGCTGGCCCTCAGGGTCTTGGAAATGGGGACAGTGATGAGAAGGGTTTTAGTTCTACCCACTGTAGTATAAGTCAGCCTCACCTGCCTCTGCATATGGTAGCTGTTCTCTAACCAAAAGCTAAGCTGCTCTGTGATGGAGGGGGTGCTGTTTTTAGGGCATTTCTACGTGCATGACCACCATGATCTTTTCATTCCTTGGAGAGGACGAGGAGGTACGATTATTCCCTCTGCACAGACACAGAGCTCTGGCTCTGAGAGGGCAAGCCTCTGGGTGCCAGGCCACCCTGGAGTTCAGATGCTTAGGCATCAGTTCTCCATCCTAATGGCACAAGGTGGCATCTCATCATGCACCTTTATGATGGTATGTTTAGCTTGAGTGTGAAACGTTCCCTGTTGGCTCCTGTGGTTTGATTACAGCAACAAGAAAAGTAACCAATATAGGGGGCTACTATGAAAAACACAGGCAATAACAAGTGAGCAGGTATTGATGGGGATGTGAGGACGAGAACCCTTGCGCATCATCGGTGCAGCTCCTGAGGGAAACAGTGTGGTGTTCCGCAAAACTGGTTTTGTATTTGTTTGTATGTGTGTGTTGTTGTTGGACTCAGAGCTTTGTACATGTTAGGCAATTGCTCTACCACTGAGCTATATCCCCAGCCCCCGAAACTTTAAAACTATCATAATTCAGGAATTCTAGAACTGAATCTAGGTATGGCAGCATATACTTCTAAGTCCAGTACTGAGAAGCCTAGGCAGGAGGATCACAAGTTTGAAGCCAACCTGAGTACATTGTAAATTCTAATCCCTCCAGCCTAGGCAACTTCGTGAGACCCTGTCTCAAAAATTAAAAACAAAAAATAGAACTAGGCATGAAGGCATACATAATCCCACATTCAGGAAACCGAGGCAGAATCATCAGGAGTTTGAGGCCAGCCTGGGCTACATAGTGAATTCCAGACCAGCCTAGGCTGTAGAGTAAGACTCTGTCTTGAGGCTGGAGAGATGGCTCAGCCATTAAGAACACTGGTTGTTCATGCAGAAGACCCAGGTTTGAATCCCAGCACCCACATGGCAGCTAACAACTGTCTATGACTCCAGTTCCAGGGCCTCTGACAGCCTCTTCTGTCCTCCAGGCAAAACATGCATACACATAAAAATAATAAACAAAAAGACCAAAAAAAAATTTAAAAATGACTCTGTCTCAACAAAACAAAAAACCCATATAAATTAAATTACATTTTAAAGGCTGGGCATGTAGCTCAGCAGTAGGGTGCTTGCCAAGTATCTACAAGGCCCTAGAACTGGAAAAGAAAAAAAAGAAATTGGAAGCTGAGTGTTGGGGAGATATTTGCACACTCATAGCACACAGCACACTTCACAACTGCTAAGAGGTGGAAATAACTGACATCTGTTGACAAACCGCACACGTATAAGGGAAAAGCCTTGGAAGGGGGAATTCTGACACATACTTCAGCATGGACAAACCTTGAGGACATTACACTGAGTGGAAAAAGCTGGTCATGAAAGGCAAACAGTGAGTCGTGAAGTTCTTAGAAACAGAGTAGAACAGGAGTTTTACCTCAGGGGCTGAGGTGAGGGGGATGGGGAGCAGTCACTGAACGGTCCAGAGTTTCTTCCAAAATATTCTGGAAATTGGTTGCACAACAATGTGAACAAATCTGGTACTACCAAACTGCACACACGCTTCAAAATGGTTAAAATGTAGTTTTTCTCACATGTATTTTACTGAAATGAAAAGCAAACATGTAAAAAAAGATGTCGAAGCCTTTTCAAATAGTGATTTTATATGTGTGTGTTATGTATGTGTGCGTGGTATATGGATATGCATGGTGCCCACATGTGTCATGTGTGGAGCCCAGCAATTGACACTGGAATGTCTTCACCTTACTTTTTGAGCCAGCGTCTCTTCACTGAACCCAGAGCTCACCAATTCAACTAAGATGGCAGGTCCCCATGAGTTCACAGCAAGTACTTTACCCACTGATCTCTCCAGCCTCACAAATAGTGAGTTTTATAAATACCACTATAAGACCAAACCAAACCAAGCCTTCTGCTCTCCTTTTAGAAGCTTACAGAACAGCAGGGACTGACAAACCTGTGTTCCAGTCCCATGTGCCATGGGCTTGGGTGCTGTGTGACTCAGTTAACTACTAAAAAAAAGTCTTGTTTGCATTTCTAAAGTCAAAATAATGTCCAAAGAGATGGGTTTCCATGAAGACCCAATGAGTTAATGGATGGACTGATGACATGTTCAAGCTCCTTTTTCTTCTTCCAGAAAATAAGAAAAAAAATGGCTTCTATGACTTCCATAATGCAAGACAAAAGGCAGATGAAAACACTCCCATTGTAAAGACTGTAAAACTGAGGTGAGGAGCTGAGGTTCTTTAAGGCCAAGGAGGACACGGGGCCAGTCTCCTGACTCGAGGGCCTGGCTACAACATGTGTGCTCTGATGTCTGACTGGTTGGGGCTCAAAGGAGAGAGCACTGGACACAGTGCGGGAACAATGAGTTGATTGAAAACATCTGGACTGAGGTTTTCCAACCACTTTCTCAATCTGGGCTGGTTTCCAAGCCATCAGGCTCCATTGAAACACACACTCACTAATAGATGCTGTTTCTACAGCAAGCTCATATTTGTTTTACTAAGTACTAGCAACAGAAGAGGCCCTCCATCTTGCCAGCAAGGCTTCTCCCTCAGAACATTCTTCACTGAGCTGCTGAAGGGCCGATGGTGAAAAGAGGCAATGCCCTTATTCCATCTGCAGCCAAAGAAGGCGCCCTCACGCAGGGATGGAAGGCCAGCATCTTTTTTCTCCTAGTGTATATTCATTATACAAAATGATGGTTTCAGCTGGGCATTCCATGCCTGTAACCCCAGCACTAGGGAGGCAGAAGCAGGAGGATCACCTATGAGTTCGAGGCTAGTCAGGACTACATAGCAAGACCCTGTCTCAAAATAATGAGTTTCAGGGCTGGAGAGATGTAAGAGCACTGACTGCTCTTGCAGAGGACCCGGGTTTGATTCCCAGCACCCACATGATGGCTACAAACTGTCCTTAACTCCAGTTCCAGGGGAATCCGAAGCACTCTTCCGACCTCTGTGGCATTGTACAACACGGGTGCACTCACATACATGCAGGCGATACACTCATACACATAAAATAAAAATAATAAATAAAATATTTTTTAAAAAGACCAAAATAATAAGATGAAAAAAAATGAGTTTCAATATGACATTCTCATGTATGTGTGTGTCATGAACTTTGGGATTACTCACCTTCACTATCTACTCCTGCCCCTCAACTCTGCTGATCCCCCTCCTCTTCCCAAAGAGTCTCCCCTCTGCTTTCAAATTGTGCTTTTTTTTTCAAGTCTGGATTCCACATGAGAGGAAAAAGTGGTATTTGTCCGCCTGGCTGTACTTTTTGGTAAGGAGCATGTGAAACCAGCACCGTGGTGCTCTGTGCTGTTAACAAGAGAGCTGCTCTTCCTGTACCCTCCACGCTCCTCCCCGTGTGCCTGCTCCACTCTGCTTGGGCAATGATTTTTTTTCTTAGATGGAGGATATGGAAATCTGTGCGTATCTAACTCTGTGCATGATACACTATTTGGTCTGACTTCCTGACAATGCTTTTCCCAATATATTTAGTACCCATTAACTAAACTGTCCTGATTCCAACACAGCCAACTTCCACATCTGCCTGTGGGAATGTGAGACGATCCTAGGTCTAACAGACACGTAGATACTAGGGAAGTTGTACTTGGGAACCAAGACGAAGTTCATATTCGGGACACAAAGAAGTCATTTGATGAGGAGCAAAATTTCATTTTACTCTATCCACTCACTTTCAGAAATCCCTCTCCTGATGAAAGAACAGGTGTGTAAACAGATGCTTTGGAAGAGAAAACACATAAATGAAGCTTG